ATGGAGACAATTCCAGTAACCTTGTTTTCATAAAGAAAACGGCAGTGGCACTGATCTGCATTTTTATCATCAGCCACTACTTTTAAACGGCAAAATCAACAACAGCCGCGCGACAAGCAAAGTCAGTATTCTAATTTCGACTCATTTACCAGAGTGGTACTCATTTATCAACCTCGAAAGGAAGATGAACGTCCATGAGAGTGAATCGATCCAACGACCTATCGGTTCTGAGTTCGACGATCTACCGACCGAGTAAGGCCCGAGAATCAATGTGAGGCAAATTCCATGCTCAAGGGAATTCGCGATTTAAGATAAAGATTGCCCGTTGCGCGATTTCAGCAACGGAGGATCGGGCGGGGACGGGTAAGAGTTATGAAATCAACAATTACATATGCACTAGATCCCTAATTTTACAGCGCAATGTATTTAGCGATTTAATGATTTATCTGGGTTGACATGGCCTTCTGAGTTTAAACATGACTACGTCAAATGCAGTGTCAAGAAACAGTGACAGTGCAACGAATGAAAAGCAAAAATGGGCGACTGACTGACTACAACGGCAATAACCGAAGATCAATGACAAAACGCCAAGCTGTACCGCTTTTTCAGATGCTGCCTAACCTCAGATCGTCGACTTCCGCAAAGACGATCAATCGATACAAACTGCGTAAAGGTTTCAAAAATGAAGCAACAATAGAGCAAAAAAGTAAACAAAAATTAATATTTCACTGCAAAACTACAAGCGAACAGTAGAAAATGACACAGCTACCAAAATTTACGCATAAGAAAAAAGCCTGAAACAACTTCACACGTACACCACAACCGTGCATTACAGAAAACAATCTGTTGCTAATTTTTGATATAAACACCCTAAATATTACTAGCTTTGCAAAATATTACTGAAATATACAAAACCCCCGATCACATCGTTGAAAGTTTCAAGTTTCTAGTGCTTAAATGAGTAACTAGAAAATATTTTTAGTAACACAGATAGAGCATAAACCGCTATATTTGCATGAAAATAAGTTTGCAAACACGCTTACATAAACGCCAGTACAACCTGGATAACTTGGACCGGCAGACAATCAGCGATTAAGTAAGCCAGCGACGATATACCCGCCACTCCACGAAATTTCGAATTTTCTCTCTAAGTGCAGCTTGCCATCGTGGAGAACGACTATGCGGTCTGTTTTGCCCATGTCGCTGCCAGTTTACGATCATCACCAAACGGCTCTAGGCTAATCGTAACTTCTTACTGTTTTATAGCGACGGCGTCATTCATTCTCGTAAGCTGTCTGAGAACCATGATGGGGGCTGTAGTCGAAACGCGGTGTTCCAAAGATTCTTTTTTCCATGGCTCTCTCGAAGATATAGCTTACACTCTTCGGTTTTAGTGTTTTAGTGAATGAATACGTTTCACCTATATGAAGCATGTTCGGCAGAACTGCATTCGAAAAAGGTTTAAACGAGTAAATTTCTGGATAGTCACAATGTACATCTTTGATGTAATGAAATGCGGGCTAACAAGCTAGTTGAATCACTCCATCATGATTATGCCACGTCTTGATCTCTTAGCTAGATAAATGTATTTATAGACTTCCTCGATCATCTAACACCCACAGTTTATCATGGTTTAAATCTTCAGCATGGAATAGGATTGCAGTAGTTTCATCTTTGATCGACAGACTTCGGCACCGTTTCATTCGAGCTCTTGCAGCATGTCTTGTGTCTGACTGGCGTTGTGCGCAAACAACACTACGTCATCGACGAGCCTTTGGTGGCTGATCTGTTCATCATTCATTTCAATCCCTTCTAACCAGTATGGTCTCCGGAACATCATTTTCAAAACAAGTTATGAGGAGTCTGAAAAATATTTTGCATCTTTATTTCACACTCTTCACTATCGGAACTCAGGAAACGGATGTCGATTGAAGTGATGCTTATGAGGCATTCATCCTTTAGCAGATTGGTATAGTCTCAACCAATGAAGTCCAAAATTTGCTGCGCTTCACAATGTGAAACCATCCAT